GGTATAATTAATAGTAGGCAATAATTAGAGGAAATAATTGCAAAACTCAAGCCATAAGGGTTTATTTATAATAATAAACCAAAACATTGTGTGATGCACTTTAGATCCTTGGTTTAAAGAAATGCAGCAACTTATTCTTTGTCACAACTGTATCAAAGCTATAGTCTTTACTTTAAGGTGTTAGACCTGACTATACATAGTAGTTTAGTAAATATTTTGTTTTGAAGTAACACATATTATCGGTTTAGTGAACATATGTGCATTACTAGCCAGACTGATTTATTGTGGAGGATTTAAAGTCAAGAGCGTGGGGACGTGGAGTAAGGGCAGGGGGGCATGCAATTGGTTGAGACACCAAGCAGACTTTTGTTTAGTATCCAGAAACTGGAGGTTCTCTTTTCTGATTTGGCTTTGGAGGGTGCATAGTCATTTATTTCATATATCCTCAAGATATTTCTCCCACTCTTCTTCTGCCTTACAGTTCAGTTGCAAATTTCACTCCTTTGGGCAGAAATGGGAATGAACATTCAAAGCTCCATAAATTATTTCCATGATAGTTTCCAAAAAAATCCCTTTCCTGTGATCTGATCTTTTAGGCCAGGTAGAGATATTACACTTTTACCAGGATAAGTGGTCGGAAACTGGTGTATACCTATAACAGAACAGAAGTTTGGTGCACAGATTGGTTTAAAAATGGCAGAACCAGATCTAAGCCCCTCTCCCCTGCACGAGGCAAATTTGTGTTCTGTTCACTACCCCTCTATACTACACTGCTTAGGGAAAACCCCGTCACTTAGATTGATTCCACCTTGGGGTTTTTGAATATCTGTACCCAGCTTTAAGGTGCTGAGCAACCCTTTCAATGTGCTGACCATTCTTAAAATGCTGTTATCAGTGTTGAAAGCTCTCCATTTGGGGAACTCACCAACTCTGGAGAGACATGTGGCACTTTGCAGGATCCAGACTCTTAACTTCCAGCTTGATTTGTTTTCCCATTTATGATGGTATTCCTCAGGTATTTTTTATATGAAGTGGAACACAACATAATTAGCAATTTTTATATTTAGCAAACAATTTTAAAACTTTCCAATTACACTTCTTTTTAGGATAAAAGCTAATTTAGTTTTCTTTGGCTTCAACCCTTTTCATGGATTAAGTGGGGAGATTTTTGAACTACTAATTCTTGATCACTATGCAAAATATGCGTAGCACATAAGCATTTCTGTTGGCATTAGCTATAAGCAAATTTCCAGTGGTATTTAAATGTGTGACTATAAAATATTTCTACTGGCATTTCCTTACCAGTTAGCAGCTGTTACAACAGTCTACAAACATCTATTAAGTAAAGGAAGACATTTTGTAATATAGATTAATAGAGAAATGAGCAAGAAGATGAGAGGAGAAAAAATCTTGGATACAAGCACCTTTTGTTCTTAATTGGAAAAGTGTATAAACAGATTTTCAATATGAATGTTAGACTTCAGCTGAATTCCATAAATTATATTGAGTGTAGTTTAACATGTTTAATTTCAGACATCACCAACACTAATCAGATAGGGATTTTAGAAAACAATTTATTCCATTTCAATGGAATTTCCATTTTACTAGCTGTAATCTCAAATATGTAAATGGTAGCCAAAGCTGGATGTGATGCTTCAGTTAAGATTTTTTTTTTT